AGAGAGAGAGAGAGAGAGAGAGAGAGAGAGAGAGTTCATATTAATTTTAGTAAGATAGGTTTAGTTTAGAATATTAGAAGATAAGTTCAAACCCTATTCTGATCTATTCACATTGGTTCCATTAATTTTAGGGATAACAATTTCAAATAAGTTCACATTCAAGATCACATGTTCAAATAAGTTTAGATAAAATACAATGAGTTCATATAAATTCGGATAAAATAGGTTAAGTTTAGATTTGTCAATTTGAGTGTTTGGGTCGAGTTAGCTCGGTTCAGGTCAATTTGAGTTAGTTGCATTATTATTCAGGTCGAGTTACATCAGGTTTGGGTCTGGTTAAAAACAGATCGAGTTGAATTCGAGTCGAATTAATAACAGGTCAGGTTGAATCCAGGTCGGGTTGAATTTAGGTCAGGTTAGTAATATGTAGGGTTGATTTCGGGTTTCAACAAGTCAAAACAGGTTTGGATCAATCTCGGGTTCGATTCAGGTCAATAATTTACGGGTTATGTTCGGCTCAGGTCGTTTCAAGTCAGGTCATGTTCGAGTTCGAGTCTCGCTTTGGTTTCAGGTCGGGTCATATCAGGTTCAGGTCACCAATTTCTCAGGTTCAAACAAGTTAGGTTATGATCAGGTTCAGATAAAATTTTCGAGTCGGGTTGAGTCAGCTTTTAACAGCTCTACCCTTATCTCTACCTTACTTTTTTATTACGTCGAGTAATACTCCCCTCCCACATACCTTACTTTTTATTTTATTTTTAATAAAGTATAACCCTATTAAGTATTTTTTTTTAATAAAGTATAACCCTATTAAGTTTTTTTTTTTTTATTCCCAAAAAACCCCGGCCGGCTACCCCATATAATATGTTACTGATTAAGTTCACCATCCTAAAACCATCCTAAAATTATATGTCGGTCAAATCGATGTATTTTTATAAATTTAAAAATGGAGGGAGTAGTATATATATATATATATATATATATATATATATATATATATATATATATATATATATATATATATATATATATATATATTCAATTAGTATTGATTTGAATTATAAAACAAAATCATACATAGATCATACAACCTCCATTTCTGAAAGTTCGACTCACTTACTATTCATAGGGTTAAAATAAAATAATTTTGACCACATTTAATGACTTATACAATATAAATAAATTAGCATATGAAATCTTATTAGATTCCTCTTATTATAAATTTTTTCAAATATCAATTTTTTATAATTTTCACTTATATATAGCCGAAGATATTCATAGTCAAATATGTTGATTGGAGACCGTACAAATACAAAGTGAGTCGAACTTTTATGAACGGAGGGAGTATATTAATTTATAGTAAGTACTTTGTTTTTAATTTTTTTGACGGGGATGCTAAGTAATTTCATAGCTCTATGTCTTATTGATCTAACGTAAACTACAAGTCAACTAAAGTGAAATAAACGTTTTAAGAAAATTGGTGAAAAGTGCACCAAAGTCGAATTATGTTAACCATCGGCCACCAAAAATGAAAAGTAAAGTTTATACGGAGTATATTACTTTTATGTGCATGAAAATATAGAAAGAACGGTCAACGGTACAACAGCCAACGGTTGAGGAGCTTTCCTTTGAAACCGTTAAGCTATATTTTTCTCTCAAATCACCGCCCTTCCATGTTACATGATTTATTTACATTCTAAACAAATCATTTAACATCTTTGTTTTCCCTTCAATTCTTCTTTAAATAATCGTGTGAAACTTCTTCTCCTCTCCTTTTATTTCTCTATATCTTTGTCAAAAATAAAGGGAGAATGAAATGGTGATCGTTGGAGAAGAGGGTGGTTGAAATGGCTTATGAAGAGATGCAAGCAACGCCTTTGTCGGCGATCGCGGAGGCGTTCGAGTATTTGGCTGATATTGTTGAGAATGGGAAAGATGAACTTCACTTGATTGCCTTTTGTGATGCTTGTGCTTTGGTTTCTGTCCTCTTCAATTCTTTAGGCCTTGCTTTTAAATTTGCCGAGTTAGAATATTGTGCTAAGGTAACCTTCTTTTCCTTTGATTATTTTGTTAGTTTTTTTTGCCATTTTATAGGATTCTAAATTTTCTTATACTAACGTTGTTCCATATTATTTGTAACCATTTGATATATTCTACTCACACTTTATGTCAAATCATTGCAAATAATATGAAATGCAGGTAGTATAATATTCTGTGATCATGATGATCATCATATTAGTACAAGACCATTATGTATGAATATGTTGTTATTTGGTTGTACATATGTAAATGTTTGTGTATAAGATCAACCTTAAGAACGTAAATTTTATTGTATACTCGGATGTATGTGTCAATTGTAGCATATATAGGTTGTAGGCAATGAATGTTGAATTTGAAGGTTTGTTAAATTAGGAATGTTTTGAAGGAAGATTGAATCTTTACATATTAGGAAGTCATTTTTCGCTTTAAAATTACATATTGACCATTGAATTTGGAAAACATGGTGGCGTTGATTAAGATACCTATGGAATGACATTAAATGAAAAGAAAATTAGGGCTGCATCAATTTTAAAAGGCAAGATCATATTTGTTGATATCTAATAGGGTTAAGGGAAAATTATGTTTATAGATTTAACTTATATTTAAGGTGCTTTGAGTAAATTTAAGTCACGTCCTTGATTATGAAGAGTTAGAACAAAGTGATAACAAATGGTAAGTACTTCGTAATATATTCCGAATAGACTGGGGTTGGATTATTAGTTGACCCTTTTCTTTTCACTATAGGCCTTTTACATCACAATTTTATCTAAATGTTTTTTTTATTCGTATGAAAATGTTGGAATGCTTAATTAGTACTCGTATCTTTTATCTTTACATTTTCCCTTAATTTAGCAGAGTCGTACAGTTAATGATCATTGGATTGAACTTTTTCTAACTTTTTTGATGGTTTTGTCAAGGTGCGTGGTCTCGCTGAAGCATCAAAGATATATCCTACCTTACATAATGTACTGGATGTTGATGTCCAAAATGGCAGTGTGAAATGTCCAGGAAGTCTTTCACGTAACTTACGCAGAGTTAGACAGGGTCTAGACCTTATCAGAGCTTTGTTCGAGCAGTTCTTGACCACCTAGTATGTTTGCTCCCTTCAATTCTATCATTTGTTTTCCGCATCGATAAACATCAAGAGTTTTAAACTATCAACGCAATTCTGAAATTCGGATGATTGTAAAGTATCACTTTGAATTTGTTTCATTACTGATTGCCTTGCCCTTTTAGTGTTTTAATTTGTTGTTGCATTATTGATGTTTCAAGTATTGTTTTGATCTTTTTTACCTCCTATTTTCTCTTTCAAACTTCAATCTTGTTTTTACACTGCCAAATTCAACTTTGCAGTGACTGCTCTTTAAGAGAAGCAGCTTCATCAGCCTATACACAAACATGTGCCCCATATCATTCATGGGCAGTTAGGGCGGCTGCTGCTGCTGGTATGTATGCTCTTCCATCAAGGGACCAGCTTCTGACAAGCCTGAAAGAAACAGGTTTGTTTGCATTGTCTTCTTCCTTCGTTAAGAATCGAAACAACATTTAATTCAAATCTTCATTTGCCTAACACAAACATTTCGCATTAAGTATCTAGTTGAAATATCCTATTGAACAAATTTTGTAAGGAACATAGAGCGAGAAGAAGCTCTGATAAGACTTCTAAACCTAAGTTACTGCTTATGATTGTTGAAAACCTTGGAAGTTTTTTTTTCATCAGCTTGCTTTCTCTGCTTAGTTTATAACTTTATAAGCATCCATATTCTTATCTAGACAGGGCAGCAGTTCTTCTGTTGGCTTGCAAAATTGTCCTTAGGTCTCATTTGTTCTAACTTATTCTTTGCAGATGAATCGGCAGAATTCAGAATGAAGAGGTACATCAAGGCTGTAGTACCAGTTATACAGTACATTGACAAGCTTTATCTTTCAAGAAACATCAAGTTAGACTGGTAAAATGATTTATTTATTGTGGAGATCATTAGAGTTCATTCGTCAGTAGAGCCATGAGAAACGGTATCTGATAGTCCGATGTATTTATTTGGAGTTGTAGCGATTAAGATGACAATAGGGATCTAGCAGCATTATTGGTGAAATTTAGATCATAAACAGGGTTAACCTCTCTTCTGCAGGATCTCTTTCTCCCTCCGCATACAGGCCGCTGACATCACCTTAATCCGAATAGAGATATAGATGTAGTGAAAAAAATTAGATTTGTTTAGTTGTCTTGAGAACCTTTTTGATAGGTTAAATTATGGCTACCAGATTGTGGTATTAAATCTCTGTAAATAGCAGATTTTGCTGACATACACATTGAATTTTCCGTTCATGTCTTCTCAAGTTTTCAGACTTTGTAAGACAAATTCCTTGAGTTCTCAATGTCATGAAGGTTTAAATGCGAAATTTGTAGGTCGTAATTTCATGACATACTTAGGTTTGAAGTCTGTCTTATTGACAAACAGGTAAATTTACCTATAGGCTACTTTGTAATTCTTCATGTAGAACAATTATATTCTATATTCGTTATGGAATCTTTGGCTGTTAAGCCAACAATTGCCTCATGATGCAGGCCAATAAAGAAATGCAAATTATGTGTTGAATTAGCTAGACGGATCAATTGGCGAGGTTACAATTGGTGATCAATGATTTGTACTGTTGTTACATGTTATATTTATGCTGTTTTGGCACAAAGCCAGCACATTGTTGAATATCACTGATAATAACATGATTTCTTTTCTTACCTTACCTTGCCTTTCTCTGACTTTCTCTGCGGTAAGCTAGTGTGTGTGTTGGTAGTCTTCAAGGAGCTCTTCTCTTCATCGTGATGGCCTTCCTGGTTACCTGCAAAACCTCACTGAGACGTTAGAGTGAAATAAGGGCTGGGGGAATTCGAATGGTGAACCCTCCATAGGTGAAAATGGTAGATAAGATAGTTTCGATCTAGGTCTACTCTGTCGCAAATATATCAGCATTACAGAACTTTATTACAAAAAAAAACTGAATTTTGAACACATTATTTGGATTTCAATGACATACTTGGAATAAAGGAAAACTGAGTTCATCAGAAAAGGAAACAAGTTAAACCTAACACGAAGAACCCTCAACTTCAAATGCTGCTTGTCTAGTATTGGAAACAACAATGTTGTAAAATTGATAAATAAATGGTGATAGTACAGTAAGATCCTATCAAAACCAAAAAAATCCATTTATTTCTAATAGAAACATAGCAGCAAAGCGCTAATCCTGAAGGTGTAACTGAATTCTAATGTATCCCATATTGTTCTGACTAGTATTGTATAAAAGTAATAGCTCCTCTGCTTCTTGTCCAACATAAACTCAAGGCTGGAAATAAGGTAATGTTATCTTTCGATATTCTTTTTGTGATCTACATTGTTAAACTGTCTGGATTTTGGATGATATTTGAAAAGGTCTGGAGGAAGGCAGCTAAGTCAGCCCCGTAGATGATTCTGTGATCAGCTGTGACATTCACCTGCACAAAACATTTAACAGCTTGAGTCAAATTATTCATAAAAAGCCATCCAAATATGATCTTGTCTGCTGGACCCTGGAATTTTAAGTTGTTAGGATTTCATGTATGAGTATGTTACAACCCAGGCGAGAGTAAAGATTTGGAAAATAACTCCAGTCGTCACATGCTCAAACTGTCAAACACTTATTTTCAATAGCAAAACCTTAATAGCAACGATACTGTTGCAGAGAAGATACATAGATTGAAAGCAATGAATATTACAGAAGGGCATCAATGAAATTGTAGCAAAACGGTAATATAGGCATAAAGGAACCTCTCCAACCCCTGGATGATGTGCAAGTACTAGTCATTGAAATTACGATGTTCATAGGTTGAAATGCCCAAAATCCATTCACTTAAATAGCCTACTTGGAAGTTCACCATAAAACATCACCAATCACCATCAAATCAAACATCATAACTACTTCAGCAAAAAGCTTAATATCTTTTTTAAAAAATAAAATATACAAAGTAAAAGCTAAAAAAAATTCTAAAGAGCTATAGATCTTCCACTGACCCACTTGGTGACATAATACATATTGCTAAGTCCAACGACCTCGTCAGATGCAGGCTCAAGTTAAATATTAGTCAAGCCTAAAATGTATTATACTCCCTCAGTCCTGCGTTGCTATTCACCCTTTTTTAAGTTGTACGGCATTACATTCCACCCTAATTTTATACTTACACTTTTTCTCTTCAATAAAATAAAAAAATTTCCCACAATCCCCACCACCAAAATCAAAGTGTCATTTCCCCAAAGACGTGTAAATAGGGAACAAAGGGAGAAGGTCAAGGAAACCAGAAATCTTGGGAAGAGCTCAAAAACAAAACTCTTCCAAAAAGACCAAAACTATAAATATGAATTACCAAATAGAAACATTTATGTGTTCATGTATAGAATTACTCCATGACTAATGGACTTAGCCATATGTTATACCCTACCCATGAACAGCCTTGGTTCATGAATCATGAGATGGCAATGATGTTTTAAAAAAACACACACACGCACACGAAAACAAAACAAAACCACCATCTAAAACTACTAACAAAGATGTGAAGAACATCCATCTTTCTTGATATTTCACCACAATAATCATGACCTCCTTATTGTTTATTTAAAGATGTGAAGAACATCCACCTGTTTTGCAGCCCATTTTCATATTCATTGCAGCCAAGTTAATCACCCCCCTCCCCCTCTTTTAATAACCTACCCAGGCTGCCCCCTAATCATAATTTGTGTCACTCTTTTTTCAATTGATTATGTCTGCAACCAAGAACCTTTTTTTAATTCACTTACCACCCTTCCCTGCTCCCTCACAACTTGATAACAAAGTATGTTTAATTCACAACTTGATGGTGTTGACAATATAATTAATCTTACTAGAAAATAAGATAAAGAAGAGAAACATTAATGTTTAGTGAGTGTGAGGTAATGTATAAAAAAGCACAAGGCGCACTAATATGAGAGGAATCCTTTTTGCACGTCGCCTTAGTTTTAAAGGGCGCAAGGCGCAGCAAGGCACAAAAAGTCCTTGGAGCCTAGGCGCAAGGCAAAGGCGCGCGCCTTTTGTAGGTGAGGCGCACTTTATTCATATAGAAAAGAAATACTTCCTCCGTTCTTTTTTACTTGACTTGTTTCTTTTATCACGCTTGCCAATGCAAAACTTTTACAATCAATAACTTTAATTCTCCATAAGTATAAATTATAAAAGTTATATATTATGATAGTACTTATTGAGACAAATTTAAAAAGATCCAATATGAATATGTTTTTCCTTACATATCATTCACAAAAGACAGTCATAGGAGGGATGGTGAATAGTGTAAAAGTCAAAGCGGGTCAAGTAAAAAAGAACAGAGAAAGTAATAATTTCTATTAAATAAGTGTAAAAATGAAATTATGAGTAAAGGTGAAAGGGCCATGTGATCAATAATAGGGTTCTTCAAATCGAATTATAGGATATGGTATTTCTCTCTCCACTAGAACTGAAGAAAACCGGCCCATAACAAAGTCTCATGGTATACTTTAGGAAAAATAAACTTACACAATAGCTATTGATGTTTTAAACATAAAGCGCAAAATAAGGCGTAAAGGCGCAAGAAGCAGCCTAGAAAAAAGCGCAAAGGCGCGCGCCTTTTGTAGGTCTATGAGTCTCAAAGAGCTTAGGCGCCAACTCTCGAGCCTCACTGTGCCTTGCACCTAGGCGCGCCTAAGGCGCACTTTTTAAAACTAAGCATGTCACTGCAATTAAGGTGCATTTTGGTGCTCCTCATTTAAGTAAAGCGACCTTAATAAAATAAAAACTTAAAAAAAAAAAAAGAAAAAAAAAAAAAAAAAAAATTGGTATATAAACTGCTATGCACCTTGGTGCTCCTCATTGGAGTAAAGCATTCTCAATAAAAATTATTAAAAAATAAAAATTTGGAATGCTATGCGCCTCAGCTGCACTACTTTGAAATCACCAAGCCTAGGCCAAGAAAAGCGCTGAACCCTAACCACCTTGCACCTTAACTGCTAGGCACAGCTTTTTATACATTTGTTCACGAGTAAGATAGGGAGAGATATGAATAACCCTTTCTATTACCAGTTAATTAATAAACCAGGCCCGGAAAAATAAAAAAATTAAAACTGATTCACATTATAGATTAAACTGATTCACATTATATATCTTCCAATCTATAATGTGAAGTAGGATCACTGGACCCAAAGCCTGTTACTACACCAATGTCAGTATAGCTTGCTGATTGCTATAGCGGGAAAAGAGTTTGCTCTTATACTACCTTATGTATTTACTCTGTAATACTCGAATCTAGTCGTACAGTCATCCCAGAGGTGAGTAGACTCAAGTTTGGTTTTTCATTGAATTTCTTATTTCAAATATGTGGCTAAATTGAGATTCATTTTAACTCGAGTAAAATTTATTCAAAATATAGTGTGGACAGATCTTTTTCACCAGCATATTATCGCCTTACTGGTTTAGGGTACCTCATGCCTTTTACAGCACTGTAGCACACTAAGATGGTTTCCATGAAACTGGTTTGACCATGAATAACATACTCTAATACCTTGTATTCCGTAGTTAGCTTGGGCTATGAAGTTTAGACATGACCAAGGAAATAAGGACAAATTTAACTACAACTGAAGAAGGAATAAAAATGCTTAAACATGAGGGATGAAATCATCTTCAAATAATAAATGGCTTAGGTAAGATCCTGAATTGTAATTAAATTATTAGCAGCCTCATACAACTTCATTAACATAAACAGTGTACTACCAACTAGTATTACATAAAATGAACCTAATATTCCCTACACAAACTTTGGTATGAATCTCGTGTCAGGTAAGAGAATTGACAAGTACACCGGGCAAATTGAGGGGTTGCAAGATTTTATCCCTCATCCCCCCACCCCCCCCCCCCCCCAAAAAAAAAAAAAAGAAAAAAAAAAGAAAAAAAATTAATTAAATAAAATAAAATAAAATTTGCTAATGTAAAGGTATGTAAGATTTTCTAATAACCATGACAAAATTAGGCCCAAACTCTTACTCTTGTATGTTCAACTGCAGCAAAGGGGAAATGAAGGTGGATTCATAGAAACTCAGACACTGACAGGAGTTGAGATGCTGTAGAAGGCTCTAGATTATCGTTGTGTAAGAATTGTGGCTACTATATGTTCATGTACATAAAGCTAAACTAATTCCAAACACCTATACGAGTATATAATTATTCAAAGTTTCAAATAATCAGCTAGAACTGAAAACCTGTGTGCAAAGGAAGGAATTACACTCACCAGCATTTTATTCTTTACCGAGAAGAAACCGTCAGCATCAGCAACAACAGTAGGCTTTGATGCTCCCACGGCCATGATTGCTCCCTGATGACAGACATTAAATTGTCAGTTTCTTGAAGTGGCATTTAACATCTTAATAGCAGATCAATGCAAGGGAAGGATTTTATTCAAAAATGACTAGTAGGGATTAACTTAGATCCAATAACTAACCTGGCCAGGAGGAAGGATAGCGTCGAATCTATCAACTCCAAACATGCCCAAATTGGACAAGGTGAAAGTACCTAGCATGCATAACCAACAATATTTCATTCATTCATTTCAAAAACAAGACATTAAGCACATAGACAACATAAACCAAGAACAAATCACATATATCAAACCTGAATTATACTCATGAGGCTGCAATTGTTTGGAACGAGCCTTCTCTACTAGTTCTTTCCATTTTTGGGACAACAAATAAAGATCCAACTGCACATAAGCAGAAATCCTTAATTTAGACATTACGATCAAGAATGCAACTCCACATTATTAATATCTATAGAAAGATTATTGTGACAAACTCGTTAAATCAACCAAGTACGCGAACATAGGCTCTAAAAACCCTACATACCTTGTCTGCATCCTGTAGCACAGGTGTGATTAATCCTCCATTGATTGCCACAGCAACAGCAATGTTAATACTGCTATTATAAGAAAAACTCTTACCATCCTTGCATGTAGAATTTAGCGCAGGGTGCTGAACAAGCGCCATTGCTGTAGCTTTCGCTAGCAAAGCACTCATTGTCACACCCTTCTTCTTAACCTGATCACACACAAAGTAATACAAAATTTTCAAAAACACAACCCAAAATTGTCATCTTTACTAATACAAAAATAAAATGTAGGTATATTGTGTATACCTTGGCATACAGAGCGTCAAGAGCATCAGTCACTATCGGATACCCAACTCGAAAAGTAGGCACTGACAAACTCTCCATCATATTCTTCGCCACAGCCGCCTGCATTGTAGTGAATGGCACTACAGATGATCCTTCAATTTCAGTAAAATTGCCACCAACAACTTTCGCAGGAGCTGGCGCAGGCGCGGTAGCAACAGCAGCAGGAGCAGACGGCGAAGGGACCGCAGGCGCCGGCTTCACGATTCCAGCCGCCTTCTCCACATCCTCCGGCGTGATCCTCCCAAATGGTCCGGTTCCCGAAACCGATTTCAAATCCACCTTATGCTGCTTCGCCAATTTCTTCGCAAACGGCGTCGCCACCCCCTTCCTCCCACCCTCCGTCCGCGCAACCGCCGGAGCAACCGCCGGGGCATCCACCGAAGTAGTCACCGGAGAAGCAGGAACTTCAACTTTCACCTCGGAATTCGATCCTGATTGCGAAGCCCTAGCTTTAGCCTCCTCAATTTCCTCCTCAGATTCCGCCAATATCCCAATCGGAGCTCCAACAGGAGCACTATCACCTTCACCTACAACAATGGCGGCAAGAATTCCATCATAGAAAGTCTCGACATCCATATCCGCTTTATCGGACTCGACAACAACAACCGATTCGCCCTTACGAAGAACATCACCCTCCGATTTCGACCACGATACGATCTTCCCTTCTGTCATCGTTGAGCTGAGTGCAGGCATGAAGATCTCGCGGATTTTGGCGGAGACTCTCATGGGTTTCCGGCGAGGATTGGGCGGAAGTGCGGTGGAACGACACCATTGGAGGGAGGAGGTGGAGGAGAGGGAAGATGAGAAGGAGATGGCAGGGGAATTGGCATTGGAGAGGGATAACTTAGAAAGAGACGCCATTGAAGGTAGCAGGAAGGTTTGGAGGAGAGAGAAAGACAGGAAAATGGGGTGAATGATGAATGGAGAAGGGGAGTGTGATGAAGAAAAGGGAAGGGAAGGGAATGGAATGGGCGGAGAAGACGAGGGTGGAGTGTTAGTTGAGCAGTTGCAGGAGTAGAAATTTGGAAATCGATTTTAACACACATTTAATTGATTTTGGCAGCCCCTACGTGAGAATAGCACAGAAAACTGTGCTCTCACATAGGTGTGCCAAAATAATTTCTCAGAAATTTGGGGCCTGCTTTTCAAAACAAATTCTCTATATGAATTTCCTTTTTTTTTTTTTTTTTGAAACATACAAGTAATTGCTTTATGGTTGGCCTACCATAACATAGTTTTTATTTTTACTCCCGCTATCTCTTATTTACATGTCTATTTTCCATTTTACACGAGAATCAAGGAATTTAGAGACTCCTTTAAAATCATGATTGGGAAGTACAAATATGCATGTGGGGTTAGAGAGAGATAGAGGGAAAGAAAATGTCTTTGGTAATTATTGAAGAGATAGAAAGAGAAAGTGTTGGAAAATGATGTCAAAAGTACATAAAAAATAAAAGAAAAATACTAACTTATCAAAAAGAGGGAATATTGTTATAAAATACATTCTTTTAATAGAAATCGGTATGTAGTTTTGAAACCCCCAAAAAGGAAAGTAGGTATGTAGATAGGGACGGAGGGAGTATTTTTTTTACAAAGGTTTAAATTAGTAGAGCTAATTAAAAAAATTAGTAGAGACAATCATATTAGGCTCAGCCCAACCCGGCCCGATTTTGGGCGGGCTTTAGGCAAAAAAATTTCAAGTGGGCTGGTTTATGTGCCCTCGACCTTGTCTGCCCTTTGATCACCTCTTGTTAAAAGCAATTATTTCGTACATAATATACATATTACATATAAGTATTTAAACAAATCAAATGAAGTGCTACTGCTCTGGCTATTTAATGTGCACGATGAACTTGTTACCTATCTACTTTTTGTATACAGCAAGATTAAATACTTGATTCGATTAGTTGAATCTTCTAACTCGGCCAAGTGTAATTCATGTTTCCTTGACTCCCTTGAATAAGAGTTACGAGGTTATAAGAATCAATAAACACTATAGCCGAAAGAATGTTTAAATTTAAAGCCCATTGTAACGAGTACAAACAAGCCAAAGCCTTGGAATGTAATGTCGAAGTACTGAATCCGTAACTGCTTCCACTAATAATTCCGCAGCCTAAAGGATCATACTATCAAAGCACTTACTCATCCATGCGTATGTGTCCTTAAACCACGACCCATCTATCTGTATTGTAACCAAATCGTACCTTATTGTACACAGTCCTAAATGTGTAGGGTAAAACCCATATAGGGACAACTAACCCATCATCAATATACAGAGAGAAAGGGGTTCCTATAGTAAGATCCCCATCTATAAAAATGTTATGTGTATCTTAAACACCCGAAACTTGTAAGGTGAATGTGGTTTATTGATAAGCGAATCTCCTCTTAAAACCCTATTATTTCTAAAATATCATAGACTCCAAAGACTACCAATGAAGGTACCAATTTAGAACCTACAAATATTTTCCTGGCTAATAAAAAATCAGATATAATATTGGATCCAATCTGAAAAAGAAAAGGTCTCAATTGAGTTTTGAGTGGATGCCAAGGCTTCCACCCCTCCAAGCTATTCTAGATATAAGAAGATTTTGAAAAGATGATAAATATCCTTAATTTGTGTATTGCAAAGATGCAAAACACATCTTGTTTCGGAACACCCTTGTGGTAGGTGAAGCTCAACTTTAGTTGCTAGTGTGTTATGAAGCAATCCATAAGAAAAGTTTTCACTTTGGTTTTATGTTATCTTCTTGTAACATAGCATATTGCATATATAACCAGTTTTAAAATAGTACTTTCTAAAGGAGGTACGAGACTGGTAATAGAATTCTTCTTTTGTAACTAATTAAGATTCCACATCAAGGATTGTAGCAACGGCGATACATTGAAACTATATAACACTTTGTTAGTATCCCAACATTGCATTTAGGGATTGATGATATAACTTATTGTCCAATCCACAGTGTTGTTGAGTAAAATTCCTAGTTTGAACTCAGGAATGTTGCTGCCAATAGAGCGTCTTGCTATAATAGAACAACTCTTTTTCCTACTTTCCAATTGCATTTGTATAATAGTTTTGCATCCTCTAAGCACTCCTCTAAAGCCATGAGAGTTACGACTTGTGAAGTGGTTAATAGTATTTATGGAGTCAGAGAGAAAAGTCGTGCTAGCACTGTATATTTTTAATTAAAACAAGAAGTTATGGATGTGTCATAAATCTCCACACTTGTTTCATAAAGAGAGCTTTATTCAAAGTAGATATATATCTGATTCCCAAAACGTCCATCCTGCGAGAAGATGCATAGTGTCCCTATTAACCAAGTGTATTCCTTTGTTATCTTTATTAACTCAAAATAAATGTAAATTAAAAGTAAGGAATTTATTTTTTTCTGAGATCGATAGCTCAAAACATGCAACAACATGAGAAGCCATAGCTACAAGGATAGTTTTTATTGAAACTTGACTTTTGCGTTTGAGAAAAGCTTGATAAAGAGGTAGGAGAATTCATTCATTCTCCCAAGAATATTGTCCATGATGAATTGGAAGTGATCTTTCTTCATTCCTAAGAAATCAATGGGAGAACCGAGATGATGATTAAAGATCTTTACGTGCACATTCGATAGATTGATAAAATTCATCATGAGCAAAGAGAGTATATTTAGACTGAACTTGATAAAGGACTTATTTATACAAGTTAAGCTCCTCAAAAAATATGTATTTAATTTGTAAATCGTTGGATGATGTCGACAATGATATTATTACAGGATGCAGTATTATTAGCCCTAAAAAAGATAAATGTGTTATCCGCGAGTAATAGATTAAAAATATGCGGACATGATTTTGAAATGTTGATCACTTTAAACATATGTAAGTCTTGTCCCAAACATAGCATACATGAAGTATCCATACAAAAAATAAAGAAGTATCTGATAGAGGATCACCTTGCTGAAGACTGCATTTTGGTTTAAAGGTGTCAATAGTAATATCGTTGATGAATGATTAATAAAAGAAAGTGTAAATACATTGTTGAATCATTATTTGTCGACAACACATTGGAAAGCCATAAGTTCTTTGACCGCGTAATAAAGAACTTCAATGAATCATATCATAAGTCTTACTCAAATCTATTTTGATTGATGTTGTAATACTCCGTATTTTTATATGTATTTTAATTTAAATCATTATTTTATGAGGTAATTAAATAATTTGAAATGAATTATTTATGGTATTTTATTAATTTAAAAAGAATTATTTTAATTAAAGGTCCATTTTTTATTTATTTAACTGTTTTGAAAATATTTTATTTTATTATTTAGAAACTTTGGGGCATATTATTTTATAAAAGGAAATTTAAAGTCATTGATATTTAAATAAAGTCAAAGGACTAGTTTGAATAGGAGAAGGGGTCATTAAGGGTAGAAAGAGAATTTTAACTTAGGAGAGTTTTAGAGAGGGGATATAAATACCCATCTTACGAGAAAGTTAGATCTTACCAAAGGTGGAGAATACCCAAATATTAACACTCTCTCTCTCTCTCTCTCTCTCTCCTCTTATTTTCTCTCTCCTTTAATTTTCCCCCTCCCCTTCCTTTTTAATTTTACACACATCACCACACACACAACCACCACAGTCGACCGCTGTTGCTAGCACCAGGCCGGCAGCAGCAGCAGCAGCCGCGGGGAGGTGGCGCCGGCCATTCTCCCCTCCCCCTTGTTGTACGTGTGTTTTCGAAAAAAAAAAATTCTCTTCTTTTGTTTTAAATTATTCTAGCCTTGATTCAATTATTATTTTTAGGTTTTGTAAGATTTTTATGATGTTTGAATATAATTATTATGTATATAAATTTCAGATTTGGTTTTTGAATTAAATAGCCCCAAATTGAAAACCTTGGGTTTCTAAATTAATGTATATTGATGGAAATTGATTGTAGGTGGTTGAAACTATTAAATTAGATGTTTTTAAACATAATTACAACAATTTTACATGTTTTTATAAAGCTGAAATTTTTATATAAAGGTTACAATTATGTTTCTTCAAGGGATTTTTAATTACCCACTAATTGGGAATAAAAGTAAGGGTTTTTAATAATTTTCAGCTTATTTTAGAGGGTTTATGAGTGATTTAAAGAGTATATATTGCTGGAAATTCATGTTGAATAGGTATTAATGTCTCTTTGTAATTTTGGGTTGTAGGAGATTTCCAAGTAAGTGATTTTGTGTAGTCGTGGCGATTTTAAGATCATATCCAAGGTACATTCGCATTCTCAGTAATTATTTGAGTGTATAGAAGCATGCTAGGCTTTGTTTAATTAATTCCAAGGTAGTATCATGGTAGGTGTTGGTTGGAATTGTTGATTGGATTGATGTTGGTGATTAATTTGTGATGTATGAATTATTTATGATGGATTAATGATTGGAATTAATTATATTGACATGTTAAATATGAACTATACACTTTTATTATTGGCATGATTGAGAGCATGTTTAATTAAACTAAATGTTTAATTTGGTTTGGAATATGAAAAGGGAAATTTTATTGTGGTTCATATAATTTTTATTGATGTTTTAAGCATGGGAATTAAACTATTAAGTGTCTTAGTACACAGGGATAAATTATATTGTGGTGCCTACGTGCACTTAAGGTGTTCTAAACACCAAGGGATAGGATTTGCGGTGCTTTATGCGCTTAAGGTGATATTTAACACCGAGGTAGTTTAAAAAGGATTCAATGTTAAATTATGTGGTCACTAATTATTCAAAAATTAAATTGGTATGTTTGATTGCTTGAATGATTTATGATCATTGATTTGTGTTGTGGATTAAGAGTCATCACCAAGTCTAAAAATATGTAAACAACGTAAAGTGAAAGAGATTACGCACCAAAACTCTTGGAACGTATATACCTTGAGTATGACCATATGGGGGGGGTTATGGGGTTTTATATTTAACCATGACTTCTACTGGGAGTACAGGACGCTGTATTTTCCTTTTATTTATTTTATGCGCAGGACGTCTTGTCACTTCATGTGGGCATTTGCCTACCCGGTTACCTCCCAGTGTAGTTTACCTCAATTTATTTGGGGCAGGGATTTGGTGGGAAAACCTTTCGATGCGTAATCAAATTAAATAGGCAATTTAATTGTCTATTTATTTGTTGGTTGTGTTGTGTGCTTGAAACTAGATGCAGCAAGGTAAGTTGTGTGTTGATAGGGTTAAAGAATGCTAGTGTGCACTGTTTATGCTTATGTACTCAGCATTGCTCATTGTGTGTTGTGTGTTTGTTTGGCCTTATCTTTATCTTGACCCTACGACGACCCATTTCTAATGGCGAGTAGTGGGGACAAAGTGAAGTGAAGCTTTTCAGGTGTGAAAGCATATTTATAATGGGCATGAGTGAAGAGCGAATCATATTTAGTTTTCATAAGAATATGATGTGGTTTGTTGCTTTAATTATTACATATTTTGCTTGTGAGACTAACGCAAAGGTTTTCAAATATTTAATCTCGGTTTTATTACGGGCCTACAATGGTTCCAAGTTGTAGGTTGACTTTGATTGGCTTTGGTTGACTTTACTTTCATTTAGTTTGACTTTTTAAGTTGACTTGTTTTGAATGGTTTTAGAGAGAGTCTTCCGCTGTGTGTCTTTGATGATTGCCTTAACCGTTTTCACGGTGACGGTAATGTCTTAGAATTTCCTATTTCGTATTTTAAAATAACAAAACAGGTATTTTAAATGGAAGGAATTTCTAGGGTGTTACAGATGCAAGCCAACTAGTACCATCCTTTGAGGAGTTGGTTTTTTTCCATCAATTTATGAATGAGTAAATCATTATCCATCATAACTGTACGTTGGACAAACGCATGTTGATAGGCAAGAATGAGAAAAGGTAGCTATTGACAAATTCTGGCCACTAAGCATGCACTTGGAAGCGCACTTGTAAATCGTATTACAAAGGCTAATACGATATAATTGTTCTATATGTAGGAATGACAATTTTTTGGATCATAATGTAATATCCCGTATTTTGAGAATTATTTTTCTTAATTATTTATTGTAAAAGTGTATTTTAGTAATTTTTTATTATTTGAATATAAGAGCCAAAATAAGAATTCAAATTTAGGCGCCCAAAATATTGGAGTATGCAGATATATAATTTATCACTTTTGAATTTTACAACCCAATTTATTTAATTAATTTTGGATTTTAATGTAAACAATTTGTAATTTTATTAATTTATCACATCATAACATTCCAAAATTTATTTTACTAAACTACGTAATTTAGTTTTGTGTTTTATGAATTTATAAATAAATTTGCATGTTTTATACAATTAATTTCGAATTTCTGGATTAATTAAATCTAATTATTACTTATTATCATTAAAATTCCGAAAATTAATTATTAATTATTAAAATTATTTTTCTGATTTTCAAAATGATTATATCTTTTGGAATCAATTTTTAATTAGTTAATTTGAAATATCTTGATCTTTTTACAATTATTTACCGTGCAAGTCAAAATTAATCATTTTTAGTTTATAAAACTTATCCTGCTTTAGACTTTTGGCTATGAAAATTATTAAATTATATCATATTAATCATAAAAATTCAGAATTTTTAAAGATAATTTCGGATTTTATTTTAATTAAGTGATTATTTCCTAAATTAATTATGTTTTCGGTTTACAAAAAAAAAATTGTGGTTGCCGAAAGTGTTAGATAAAAACCTGATTATTATGGATATTTTCATCAAAATTATTTAAAGATATATTTTAATACAAACCAATGTAAATCCTATTTCTTTTTCACACTTAATTTCATTCCTTTTCACACTTTAATTTCTATCTTTTCATACCTTAAATTATTAAATAATAAACTATTGTATTTTCTTAATTATCTTTGTAAAAAAATAAAATAACAATATATCAATGATAATCTTATTTATTTTCACACTTTAAGTTCTTTTATTTTTTACTATTCATAATATCCTAATTCCATACTCCCTAAAGGCTATAAATGCCCTCATCGCTTCCCATATTCTTCACCCCAAAACTCAATTCTCTTCTTTTCTCTTAACTTTCTTTTCCCTAAACCTTTTCCTACTTTCTAAACCTTTTTTGTAAGATATATAATTAGCCCGTATACATTCAGTGGCGGATCTAGGATTTTATGGATGGTGAGTCACCCGTTACCCATCGACAGCATACCAATCAATAATCTCTATTTAAACACGATTCATAATATTTAATCAATGGGTGGTGTGTTGTAATACCCAAGATTTTTTAACACGACTTATTATATTTTAATTATGATTATTAGCTTAACTAAATTTTAATCTCTATTTTAACAAGTAAAAGTCTTTTGATCTTAATATTATTTTAGCAACACATTATTTCAAAAGATAAATTTACGAAGGAAAGTATTTCTAAAATGTATTTTGGGTTGAGTAATAATTTTATTTTCCGTCAAAGGGTTGAGTAAAAATGTATTGACTTACAACTAGTAGTCCCGTAAGTTTACATGTAATACCCCGTATTTTTATATGTATATTAAATTAAAACATTATTTTATGAAGTATTTAAATAATTTGAAATGAATTATTTATGGTATTTTAATAATTTAAAAAGGTTTATTTTAATTAAAAGCCCATTTTTATTTATTTAATTGTTTTGAAAATACTTTATTTTATTATTTAGAATCTTTGGGGCATAATTATTTTATAAAAAGAAAGTAGGTCAATGGAATTTTAAAGAAAGTTAATGACTATTTTGAATAGGAGGAGGAATCATTAAGGGTAGAAAAGAAATTTAAGTTAGGAGGGTTTTGACTGAGGGTATAAATACCCATCACATGAGCAAATTAAATTTTGTCCAAGATGGAGAATACCCAAAGGTAAACTCTCTTTCTCTCTCCTCTTATTTTCTTTCCCCTTAATTTTTCCCTACCCTTTTTCTCACCTTATGCACGACCCACACCCCCACACCACCGACCGGTGGCCGACTGCCACCACCACCACCACAATCGGCCGCCGCAAGCACAAGGCGGCAGCAGCAGCCAGCCGTGGGGAAGTGGTGCGCCAGCCACTCTCCCCTCCCTCTTGTGCGGTTCACATAACACTACTACATAAGTGACATTATGTAACACCAACAAAGTGTTACATAATTTGGTTAAAGTGTTATTATAGACAATAAGTAACACTTTAATGGGTGATACGTCTGGCCGTGCTACCTATACTTATAGGTAACACTATTGATCATTTTTTGTATCACTTTTACATGTGTTACTATAAAGGCTTTTATGTAACACTTTTAATACGCATTGTATCATTTTTAAAGTGTTCTTAAAATTTATTATGTAACACTTTTTTATCATTAATTAACATATTTCAATCAATTTTTTGAAAATAAATAACATTTTATTTAATATTATGTATCACTTTTTGCAAACTTATGTAATACCTCATGAATTATTAAGTAACACTTTACTAGTAGCAGTACTACTATCCTACTACTTTTATAATAATAATTGGTGTTAATATTGAAGAATGAAAAGTTTGAAATATGTAAAAAATTAATCATGCATGTGAAATTGATATACGGTAACATAATATTAAGATTATATAATATAGTCTGTACAATCATTCAACTACATGTTATTTGATGGAAAAATGAAAGAGCTACTCATACTATTATATGTTCAAAATACCTAAAAAAATTATCTACATATTGAATAAATACGTAGTTGATCCAAAATTTTATTGAATTTATATTTTTCTTAAAAAAAAGGTCCTGAACTAAAATCATTGATTGTCTTCAATCCTTTCTCCAAGGCATAAAGGAATACCAAATTAAGACAAATTATGATATTCTAAACACATGAGGAAAAACCGAACTTACAATGTTACTTTGAATTGACTCATAGGATGTTTTGTATAATTTTCCTTCTTTCCTTTTCCGACTTTCTTTGTACTAATGTGCTTGAGATGGTGGCCTCTTTTCAGCATCCAGTTGTTGCTAAAAACAAAATCAAGGTATAATGGAGTTTGGAAAAAAATTACAATCCGTAGTGAGACAATAAAAAATAAAAATAAATCATAATACAGATAAATATATATTACCAACTCATATTGCTTCCTCGCAAAGCTCTTAGGACCCATAGTGTGTCTATCCTTTTGATTCATGCTCATTTCTTTTTTTTCTTTTCACTAACCTCCTGTAAAGTTTTGTTTGATTCTGGTACAACTTTTTCTTTTATTTCAAAAGTCAATGTTTCAAAGCTATCGCACTGTTTGAAAATCGTAGATGTCATAGATGTACCTATAGTTATTCCTACGGGAGGGGTAGTACAGTGTACCAAAACCGTTAAGGATGTGCCATTAAAGATCAAAGGAAAGGTCTTTTTGTCTGACCTCGTTGAATTTGGGTTGAGTGACTTTGATATCATCTTAGGAATGGATTGGTTGAGTAATTATAATGCGGAGATTCGTTGTCGATCATAGAAAGTGTAATTAAGTACAGCTGAAGGGTGAGTTGGTTACAAATTGGAAGCATGGTGAAGCAAAGTTCCCAAGGATCATCTTTGTGATGAAGTTGGCTAAGTATATAAAGAAGGAACATCCAGTATATTTTTGTAGTGTAAGGAACTTGAATCACGAAGAAATAGCTAAGCCTGAGAACATAGAAGTGGTGAGTGAGTTTCTGGATGTGTTCCCAGAAGAGATTTCAAGGATGCCACCCAAGAGGGCAATTGATTTCACAATAGAGTTGGTCCCAGGGACAACACCTATTTCCAAGGCACCATATTGAATGGCACCTGCAGAAATGAGTGAGTTAAAGGAGCAATAACAGGATTTACTAGAAAAGGGGTACACTAGACCAAGTTCATCGCCTTGGGGAGCTCCACTGTTGTTTGTTAAGAAAAAGGATGGAAGTATGAGGTATGTATTGATTATAGGGAGTTGAACAAGGTTGCCATAAAGAACAAGTACCCATTACCAAGGATTGATGCCCATTTGACCAATTAAGGGGTGCATCTGTGTTTTCCAAGATTGATTTAAGGTCTGGATACCATCAGTTGAGGATCGCAGACAAAGATATTCCCAAGACTGCATTTAGAACAAGGTATGGACATTATGAGTTCATAGTAAAGCCATTTGGATTAACGAATGCTCCAGCAATCTTTATGTAATTGATAAAAAGGGTATTCTATCCATTTATGGACAAGTTTGTCGTAATGTTCGTAGATGATATACTGGTGTATTCGAAGAATAAGGACGAACATGTAGAACATTTGAGGGCAGTTTTACAAACTTTAAGGGAGAATAAACTCTATGCGAAGTTTTCCAAGTGTGAGTTTCGGCTAGAAAAAGTAGCATTTCTGGGTCACTTGGTGTTCAAGGATGGGGTAGAAGTAGATCTAACAAAGATTGAGGCAGTGAAAGGATGGCTTTCGCTAAAGACGGTGTCTGACATTAGGAGTTTCATAGATTTAGCAGGGTATTATAGGCGTTTTGTGAAGGACTTTTTAAAAATTGCTAAGCCTTTGACCTCTCTAATGAAGAAAGGCAAGAAGTTCAAGTGGGACGAGAAATGTAAGGAAGCGTTCCAACTCTTGAAGCAAAGTTGATTATAGCACCAGTGCTAACATTGCCAGATGATAGTGGGATCTACGATGTATATAGTGATGCATCCAAGAATGGTCTGGGATGTGTGCTTACGCAAAATGGAAAGGTGATTGCATATGCATCAAGACAATTAAAACCCCATGAAGTAAACTACCTTTCTCATGATTTAAAATTAGCTGCAATCATTTTTGCACTAAAGATTTGGAGGCATTACTTGTATGGAGTGAAATGTAGGATTTACACAGACCATAAAAGTTTGAAGTACATTTTCACCCAAAGGGATCTAAACTCACGCCAAAGGAGGTGGTTAGAATTTGCAACGGACTACGACTTAGACATATATTACCATGAAGGGAAGGCAAAAATAGTTGTAGACGCTCTAAGTCGTAAGACTAGTCATGGATAGACCACTTTGATAGTGGATGATGAGTTGTGTAGGGAAATGAGGAAAATGAACCTAGAAGTGGTAGAATAGGGAGTACCAGCAGGTATACTTGCGAATCTAAGCATTCAACCAACAATATTTGATGAGATAAGGGAAAATCGGGCAGGAAATGTTAAGTTGGATAGGATTCGTGAGAAAATAAAGCAAGGAAAGGCTACAGAATTCAAAAATCAGGAAGATGAGAGTTTAAGGTACAAGGGTAGATGGTGTTTACCACAAAAATGTGAGGAAGTAAAGAGAAAATTAATGGAAGAAGGTCACAATACACCATTCTCAATACACCCAGGAGGGGACAAGCTATACAAAGACTTGAAAAAGATGTATTGGTGGCCTAGAATGAAGAATGAAGTTGCGGAATTTGTAGCGAAGTGTCTAACTTGTCAAAAGGTGAAAATAGAGCACAAGAGACCGCAAGAAACAATGCAATCATTGGAAATTCCTGGATGGAAATGGAATTGCATTTCGATAACTTTATGACTTGCCTCCCAAAGTCCAAGAGTGGAAATGATTCCATTTGGGTCGTGGTGGATAGACTTACTAAATTTGCAGTGTTCATACCAACGAAGGAGACCTGGAAGATGAAGCAACTTGCAAAAGCTTACATCAAGAATGTTGTGAGGTTACGTGGAGTTCCAAAGGATATTGTGTCTGATAGAGATTCTAGGTTTCTTTCAAAGTTCTGGAAAAGTGTTCAAGAAAATTTTGGTATAACACTAAAGATGATCACAACATTCCACCCTGCCATAGATGGACAAACTGAAAGAACTATTCAAACCTTGGAAGATATGTTGAGAGCTTGTGTCATAAACTTTCAAGGGGGATGGGAAGATAGCTTGGACTTAATTGAATTTTCTTACAACAATAGTTATCATGCGAGCATTGGTATGGCTCCATTTGAGCCATTATATGGAAGGAAGTGTCGCAGTCCTGTATGTCGGAACGACATAAGTGAAACAATGATCTTAGAGCCTCAAATGATTGAAGATACAGTTAAGCACGTAAAAGAGATTCAAGCAACACAAGATCGTCAAAAGAGTTATACAGATCTGAAGCGTAGGGAACAAGAGTTTGAAGTTGGTGACAAAGTGTTGTTGAAAGTATCACCAATGAAGGGTGTTATGAGATTTAGGAAGAAAGGAAAACTTAGCCCAAAGTATATTGGTCCATATGAGATATTACAAAGAATAGGCAAAGTAGCTTATAGGTTGGCCCTACCTATGGAGCTAAGTAAGGTGCATGATGTATTTCATGTGTCTCAGTTAAGAAGGTATACACCTGATAAATCGCACGTGCTACAACCTGAAACAATTGAGTTAGATCAAAGCTTAACTTATGAGGAAAGACCTGTCAAGATCCTTGACAGTAAAGTGCGTAGTACACGCAACAAGGAAGTTAAGATTGTTAAGGTGCTATGATCTAACCAAGAATATGAGGAAGCAACTTGGAAAGCTGAGGATGAGATGAAAAATAAATACCCTGAGTTGTTTGAGGTATGTTGAGTTACGGGGACGTAACTCGTTTTCTTTAAGGGAGGTAAAATGCGGTAGATTTTCGCGCTTTTTCCCTCTAATTTCAGTTATTTTAGTGCTTTTTGCACATTTTTAACAGTTATTTCGAGTACTTTTGATTTCAAGGAGACATTAAAGGTAAAAGTATGTCAAAAGAGTTCAACAACATTACACAAAGTGAGGAAAAGGTTGATTTTTCGTTACCCAAGTTTCGGGATGAAACTTTTTTTAAGAGGGGTAGACTGTAATACCCCGTATTTTTATATGTATATTAAATTTAAAAACATTATTTTATGAAGTATTTAAATAATTCGAAATGAATTATTTATGGTATTTTAATAATTTAAAAAGGTTTATTTTACTTAAAAGTCCATTTTTATTTATTTAATTGTTTTGGAAATACTTTATTTTATTAGAAACTCTAGGGTATAATTATTTTATAAAAAAGAAGTTTTAAGGTCAATGGAATTTTAAAGAAAGTCAATGATTATTTTGAATAGGAGTAGAAATCATTAAGGGCAGAAAAGGAATTTAAGTTAGGGAGTTTTGAGAGAGGGTATAAATACCCATCACATGAGCAAATTGAACTTTGCCCAAGGTGGAGAATACCCAAAGGTAAACTCTCTTTCTCTCTCTCCTCTTATTTTCTTTCCCCTTAATTTTTCCCCTCCCCTTTTTCTCACCTCACGCACGACACACACACCCCAACACCACCGACCGGTGGCCGGTTGCCACCACCACCATAGCCAGCCGCTGCCAACACAAGGCGGCAGTAGCAGCCAGCGGCGGGGAAGTGGTGCACCGACCACTCTCCCCTCCCTCTTGTGCAGTTTGCAAGTTTTAAATAAAAAAAAACTTCTCTCTTTTGGTTGTTAATTTAATCCAACCTTGACTAATTATTGTTCTTGGGTGTGTGTGATGATTTTATGATGTTTTAATAATGATTATCATGTATATAATTTTCAGATTTGGTTTTTGAATTAAAAAGCCCCAAATTGAAAACCATAGGTTTCCAAGCTATTGTTTATTGACGGAATTTGATTGTAGTTAATCAAAACTATTGAAATTGATGTTTTTAAACATAATTACAACAAGTTTATATGTTTTTATAATGCTGGAATTTTTATATAAAGGTAGAATTATAGGATTTTTAATTACCCATTAATTGGGAATAAAAGTAGGTGGTTTAAATTAGGTTTCAGCATGTTTTAGAAGGTTGAAAGTGATTTAAAGAGTGTATATATTGCTAAAAAATTTATATTGAATAAGTATTAGGTCTCTTTGTAATTTGGGGTTATAAGAGACTTCCAAGTGAGTGATTTTGTGTAGTCGTGACAATTTTGAGATCATATTCGAGGCACGTTCGCATATTCGGTATTTATTTAAGTGTGTAGAAGCATGCTAGGTTTGTTTAATTAGTTCCAGGGTAATATCATGATAGGTATTGGTTGGAATTATTGATTGGATTGATGTTGGTGATTGATGTATGAAGTGTGAATTATTTGTGGTGAATTGATGATTGGAATTAATTATGTTGGCATGTTGATTATGAGCCACACTTTATTATTGGCATGATTGAGAGCATGTTTAATTAAACTAAATTTTTAATTGAGATTGGAATATTGAAAGGGAATTTTATTATGGTATACATAATTTTTATTGATGTTATAAGCATGGGAAAGGAGCGATTTAAATGTTTATGTACACGAGGATTAAATTATATGTTGGTGCCTAGTGCACTTAAGGTGTTTTAAACACCGAGGGATAGAATTTGTGGTGCATTATGCGCTTAAAGTGTTATTTAAGGCCAATGTAGTTTAAAACGGGTTCAACATTAAGTTAAATGTGGTCACTAATTATTCAAAAATTAAATTGGTATGTTTGATTGCTTGAATGATTTATGATCATTGATTTGTGTTGTGGATTGAGAGTCATCACTAAGTCTAAAAATATGTAAACAACGTAAAGTGAAAGAGATTACGCACCAAAACTCTTGGAACGTATATACCTTGAGTATGAACATATGGGAGGAGTTATAGGGTTTTATATTTAACCATAGCTTCTACTGGGAGTACAGGACGCTGTATTTGCCTTTTTATTATGCGCATGAATTCCGCCACTTATGAGTGGTTCTTTTATACTGGCACGGTTAGCTCCCATGTTAGTACTCCTTTATTGGGGCAGGTTAGAGGGGAAACCCGATCGATGCGTAATCAGATTAAATAAACAAACCATTTGTTATTGGTTGGTTATGTTGTATGTTGTATGCTTATAAACAGGTGCAACAAGGTAATTTGTATGTTGATAGGATAAAAGCATGTTAGTGTGTACTGTTTACGCTTATGTAATCAGCTTTGCTAATTGTGTGTTTGTATGTTTTGTTTGGCCTTGTCTTTATCTTGGCCCTACGACGACCCATTTCAAATGGCGAGTAGTGGGGACAAAGTAAAGAGAAACTTTTCAGGTAATGAAGCATATTCATGACGGGCATGAGTGAAGAGCGATTCCTGTTTAGTTTCCGTAAGATGATGATGTGTTTTATTGGCTTTGATTATTATACATTTGCTTGTGAGACTAACACAAAGGTTTTGTTATTATTTTGAGTTTTAATAAGGACCTACAATGGTTCCAAGTTGTAAGTTGACTTTGTTTGACTTTGGTTTGACGTTACTTTCGTTGGTTTGACTTTTTAAGTTGACTTGTTTTGAATGGTTTTAAAGTGAGTCTTCCGCTGTGTGTCTTTGATAATTGCCTTAGTCGTTTCACGGTGGCGGTAATGTCTTAGAATTTCCTATTTCATATTTTAAAAAGAGCAAAACCGGTATTTTTAAAGGAAAGGAATTTCAAGGTTGTTACATTACCCTTAGAAAAGAAGGGAAAAAAAAAAGGGAAATTCTCTTTGGTAACACTTAACTTCTTATTATTCTCTTTGGTGAATAGGTAAAAAAGTGATTATCTTTGATAATTTTATATTATCGTTTACCAAAGATAACAACTATTTAAATTAAAATCATTAACCATGGTTAATATTTATATTCTTTAAAAATTT